AGTGAATGCATGTCCAGACGTTATGACATGGAACCGTGTTCACCATTCATGGTGAACACGGTTCTAACGGTGTTAGTACATCGTTATCTTCTTTTTTTTTTTTTTTTTTTTTTTTTTAATTGCATGACTTTTCTTCTTTATTTTCACATTTTGCGGTTTCACTTTAATTTGAGGTGAATAAAGATTTCGGACATTCATAAATTATGAATTCATGCCTGCACATTCACTTTGGAACCATGCCTACACATTCCCGTCCGAAATCACGGACATTCATAAATTATGAATCCATGGCTGCACATTCACTTTGGAACCATGCCTACACATTCACTTTGGAACCATGAGATTATGAATTTTCTGTTATAAGATTATGAATTTTCTGTTATGAGATTATGAATTTTCAGTTATGAGATTATGAATTTTCTGTTATGCGATTATGAATTTTCTGTTATGAGATTATGAATTTTCATTACATTCATAAATTATGAATTCATGCCTGCACATTCACTTTGGAACCATGCCTACATATTCCCGTCCGAAATCACGGACATTCATAAATTATGAATCCATGCCTGCACATTCACTTTGGAACCATGCCTACACATTCACTTTGGAACCATGAGATTATGAATTTTCTGTTATAAGATTATGAATTTTCTGTTATGAGATTATGAATTTTCAGTTGTGAGATTATGAATTTTCTATTATGCGATTATGAATTTTCTCTTATGAGATTATGAATTTTCATAAAATTCATAATCTTATAACAGAAAATTCATAATTTGATCAAACGCGCGCCGTTAACTCCACATCCGCGAATTTTATTTTTTTTTGGCCTAAAAACGACATCGTTTTGCCTTGTGTTCACCATTCTCGGTGAACACGATTCCATGGCATAATTTGCGATGCATGTCCATGTGGGCTAGACCTAGGTTAGTACTCAATTGTTATGCCATGGACCGGTGTCCACCTTGCAAGGTGGACTCAAATCCAAAACGATGCCGTTTAGCTTCAAAAGAATGTCGTCTGAATATATATATATATATATATATATATATATATATATATATATATATATATATATATATATATATATATATATATATATATATATATTCAGACGGCATTCTTTTGAAGCTAAACGGCATCGTTTTGGATTTGAGTCCACCTTGCAAGGTGGACACCGGTCCATGGCATAACAATTTCAGGTGCGGCAGTGTCTTACGGTGCGGTTATTTCTTACAGTGCGGCAACACCAATAGTTCACCAAATATGCACCATCAACGTTAGGAAATACACCACACAAAACAGAGTAAACAGAGCCCTGCATCACTAAACACACACCATTAGGTGTGAGTAAAAACACCATACACTGTTCGGAAATACACCATTGGGGGTGGTGAGTTATATGGTGTGTTTTTTTGAGTCTGTGGTGTATTTTGTGATGTTTTATTACATTTCATTGGGGTGTGTTTTTATTACACTGTTGGTGCATATTGTTAACACTATTGGTGTATTCTGGAATTTGACCGCACCGCCGCACCGTAAGACCCCGCCGCATATGAGCGCTCTTATATATATATATATATATATATATATATATATATATATATATATATATATATATATATATATATATATATATATATATATATATATATATATAGTTTTGTACGCGCATTGCGCGATTGGAATAATGCCCAATGTTTTTTTTAAATAAGTACTTTAAAGTATATCAATGCAAGATTATATTAAAATTGTTCATGCATAGATAATTGAATGTTAAATTTGCGTATTTAAATAGGTAATTCTAAGTTTACAAATGCAAGATAATATAATCAAGATTGATTATAATTTTCAACAAAATAATTGTATAGGTATGGTTGAAACCAAATATGAGATATAATGGAGAGCAAATAAAAATTAGGGCATAAAATATTAAATGTATACTAATATTGAAGAGCTAACTGCTGATTGCCAAACAAGGACATTGCGAGGTAGTTTCCACTTCAATTTGTTGTGTGATTTGAATACTCTTTTTGTCAATAAATCCCCCAAGTAGTTAATATAATTGGCTTATATATATATATATATATATATATATATATATATATATATATATATATATATATATATATATATATATTTTAATATCTGGAATGGAGGGGGATACCCGAAAAGACAGATCAAACCACCCTGTGGGCATAAACAGCCCGATGAACCCTGCATATATAAGTTGCACCAATCTTGTCAAGGGTGACTAACTCCATGAGGTGAGGCGGAGGTGTCTCATAAGTACGTAGACCGGCGCCATCCAAATCTCCCATTGCCGCAAGTTTATCTGCAACACGGTTTTGCTCCCTGAAAACGTGCGTATACCTCACTTCCATCAGACTAGATGCTTCCCGCACACAAAGCCTGCCAATATTATGATTTTGGTGTCTCCACCCTTCCTCTGTACACAAGCTTTCCACCAAGGATTTTGAATCACATTCGACTATGACCCTCATGGCGCCGTATGCATTCGCCATCCGAAGTCCCTGCACCACACCCCACGCTTCTGCAGCTTCAACAGAGCACCTACCGATCGTGAACGAGAAGCCCCTACACCAATCTCCATGCACATCGCATAGAACCCCGCCACAGCTCGTTGCACCCGTTCGCTTGAAGCTGCCGTCAACGTTTAATTTGAACCAACCCGCCACCGGCTTCCTCCAAGAAACGCATGCATCGATATATTTATTTCGGCCCTGTAGAGTCGCCTGCTTCTTTTTAAAAGCCCCAAGCACTTCATGATCATAATTTTGCAGCCAAGCTACCTTATGGTTAACCGCAGTGTTTATCCCGTTAAATACCTCATCGTTTCGCCACCTCCAGATCCACCAAAGTCTGATGCCAAACTTTTCTGGCCAATCCTCCGTAAAACCGTCATTCGCGTTTCCTCGGATGTTAACTTCGAACCATTCCCCCCCAGTTCAAGCTTCGTAGATTTTCCCGTACACGCCAATGCAGTGAAGTTTCCCAGATTGGTCTAGCGGCGTCACAGTCTCTGAACAGGTGGTTCATGTCCTCCCTCTTACCTGCACAACGAAAACAAATGTCATTAGTCGTAAGGTGGCGTCTCGCCCGTTCCATATTTGTCAAAATCTTCCCATGTCGCACAAGCCAGACGAAAACAGAGATTTTGGCCGGCACCCTCAAAGTCCAGATGGTACTCCACATTTGATCAGTACTCCCGACATGAGAGGGGTCCATCAAGGCATAGGCTGAACGCACCGAAAACCGGCCTCGAGGATCCGGCCCCCAACCCCACTCGTCATGGACGCCTGCTTCTGTTAACTCAAAGCCAGCGAGAGTATGAAGTTCTTCCCGCGGTAGGGACTGCTCCAGAATCTCCCATTTCCAACCTTTGGCTTGGTCCCAGTACTCCTCAATGTTTGCGTACAATTCCGGAAGGCTCAACAGATGGAGCAATTTTTCGTATAAAGGATAAGTGGTCAACCACTTATCCATCCAGAACCTCGTAGCTTTACCATCCCTAACAATTCGCATGACGCCTATCTCCAGGCTGTTATTGGCGCCACACATACCACGCCAAACATTTGAAATCTTACGTCGACTCGAGATGTCCATCGTAGCGCCCACCCTATGATTATACTTGGTAGCCAGAGTTTTTGCCCAAAGGGCTGTGGGTTCCGTTCGATACCGCCAACAGAGCTTAACCATGCAAGCCACATTCATTTCATGCAGCTTCCTCAGACCAAGACCTCTATTTGCTTTCCCCGTAGTAACCAACTCCCAATTGACCAAGCTCATTTTCCTTCCCCCCGTCTGATCATTGCTACCCCAGATAAAACGCTCGGTTCTTTTCTCAATTTCGGCGCAGACACCTTTCGGGAGCGCCGCCGTCTGCATGGTGTAGACCAGGATTGCGTTTAAAACGGATTTCGCCAGAGTTATTCTCCCGACTAGAGACAGCGTTTTAGCTTTCCATCCTTCCAGTCTGCTAGTAATCCGTTCTAAGAGACCTGCATACGTGTTGCAAATGATCCGACCATGAAGGGAGGGTACACCTAAGTATCGTCCCAAGTCTTTTATTTCCTCAATACCTAACTTGTTTGCAATCCTGGTTGCCATCTCTGACGATGTACTTTTAGAAAAATGAACCTGTGATTTATTGAGACTGATTTTCTGTCCTGACACTTTGCAGAAGGAATCCAAGCAGCGTTGTACAACCTCAACTTGTTCTTCAGAAGCCTCGGTAAATAGTACCATATAATCAACAAAGTAGAGGTGTGACAAAATTGGTCCGTCTGGGGCCAATTGAATTCCTTTCCAGTTTTGATTGTTCACTTCTGCTAGGATTAAATGACTGAGCCGTTCTATGCAAAGAACAAAAAGAGCTGGGGACATGGCGTCACCTTGCCTTATTCCTCTCGCAGGTGTAAACTGGTCGAGGCATTCGCCATTCCATAAAACTGCAAGCTTAGAAGTAGAAACACATGCCATTATAATATTTACCCAACTAGAATTAAAACCTGCGTGTACCAAAGTATCTCAAATGAAGTCCCATGATAGTCTGTCGTATGCTTTCTCCAGATCCAATTTAATAGCCATGAACCCCTTTTTTCCACGGGCTTCCCGCATTGAGTGCATAATTTCCTGGTACACAATAATGTTGTCTGAAATTTGCCTTCCTGGGACAAACGAGCTTTGGTGCGGTCCGATCACCTGAGGCAAAATGATTTTCAACCGGTTAGTAATTGTCTTAGTTAAAATTTTATAACTTACATCGCAAAGGCTTATTGGGCGGAACTGCTTGATCGTATCAGGACCCCGGACTTTTGGAATGAGCGCTACCAGGGTATCATTTAAGCCTTCAGGAAGGCTACCAGTGTTGATTGCCTCCCTGACCAAATTAAAGACGCTATCTCCGGTTATGTCCCACATGTGCTGGTAAAAACCAGCTGGAAGACCATCTGGGCCCGGGGCTTTGAAGGGTTTCATGTCGAAGACCGCTTGTTGCACTTCCTCCTTAGTGACTGGTCTATTAAAGACCCTCCAAACCGTGTGCCTAAGTCTTGGCCTCTTGGGAAGCCTAGCTCATTACTTGGCCAGTCATGAGTCGTCGTGGGCCCGGTGAAAAGATTAATGAAAAACTTTCTAACGTGTTCCCGTAGACCGGGCCCCTCCGGAATCCAATTTCCATCCTCATCCCTGAGCCCGGACACCTTTGTGCGGGATTTGCGTATTGTAGCAGCTGCGTGGTAGTAGGCGGTATTTCTGTCCCCTGATGTTATCCAATCCTCTCTCGACCTTTGGAACCACAAAAACTCTTCTTGATAAAGGGTATTTTCCAGCTCACTTCTTAATTTCTTTTCCAATTTTCCCAAACCATTATGGGACTTGCTAGCTTGAACCTTCTGAATACCTCTAATTCTGGCCAAAAGGTCTTTCTTTCGTTTAAAAATATTTCCAAACACCTCCCTATTCCAAATATTAAGATCATGAGCCACCTTCTGAACGTTTACGGTCAAGCCAACTCCGGTGTCCCAGGTCCGCTGCACTAATGTTGACACGTCCTGATTTGTGAGCCAAGCAGCCTGAAATTGAAAACGAAAATGGTTAGAATGGTTGTCCTTTCGGCCCCCGAGTAAGCGTATCAACAAAGGGGCATGATCCGATGCAACCCTTGGCAGATGCTCCACCGAAGCATCCGGGAATCTGACGTGCCACTCGAAGTTGCACAAGGCTCGGTCTAGCCGGGCTCCTTTTATAAAATCCGTCGACCCATCTTTTACCCAAGTCATCTTGGGCCCCGTAAAGCCCAGGTCAATAAGACCTTCATCCTGGATCCAAGTAACAAAATCTGCACTTCTTTGGGATGAGTAAGAAATATAATTGGCCGTTTCATCCTTGGTAGTGACCGAATTGAAATCCCCAGCCACGAGCCAGGGTCCTTGTGGGCCCTTTTTGGATTGAGTCAGATCGCGCCATAATCTGCGTCTTAGATTGTGAGCTAGACTTCCATACACCGGAGCAAACACTCATGGCGGTTGTCCACTTTGGGAAACATGCAAAAGAATGAACTGCGGGTGAGTGAAGAGGACTGAGATATGAACCGGGTCCTTCCAGAGAACCCAGATGCCCCCACTAAAACCCACAGCTTCCACTCGAACCCAATCCGAGAAGCCGAACATAGAACAAATTTTGTTAGCCTGCACTCCTGAAACTTTTGGCTCGAACAAACCAAGGATGCTGGGTTTGTAGACCTGCAATAAAAGTTTAAGGGCACGGTGGAATGACTTTCCACTCGCCCCTTGACAATTCCAGAGCAAAAAATCCAGTAAACAAAGCAGGGGGAAAAGGAAAAATAAACCCTAGGGAGAGAACACAACATTCAAAACACACAAAGAAAGTACTCAAAGGCCAATGTTGGCCTCCTCATTCCCATCAAAACCATCCTGGGTTGTACCAAGGGCCATCACAACATCGCCCTCTTCATCCACTCGTTCTGGAGGGTCGGCGTGGTGCTCGTTCGTGGGCTGCCAAACTGGTGACGGGAGATCGCCAATCTCGTCTACCGCAAAAACTCTTGACGAGTGAATCACCAGTCCACCTTGCTCCCCTCGAACAACGATATGTTCATCTTCTTCCGCCGCCCGCCTAGTTCCAACTTGGCCACCTCCCCGGGCTCGTGTGATTGCGTCCCTTCTGGTTGCCTGTGCACGACTCATCCCCGCAGGTTCATTCAGAATCTGTCTTTCCACTACGACCACAATCGGTCTTCTCGCACCAGTACCCGCAACCAATCCAGTTCGAACGCCCTGCGTTTCCTCCGTCACAACCGGTGGTGGCCTCTTCGGATCTGCCTCGTCGACATGTGCTGCCACATCCGCCACTTCTGGGTCCCCGATTTCCGTCTCCTCCACGGCAAGCAGCCCAAACCTCGAATTCTGCATTCCACCATCTCGCTCGGCAACCGCACCACGTCGTCTCTCCTCCGTAGCCCGCGGAGGTCTCACTGGTTGCTTGGGACCCGCTCGCGCCCTCCTCCCAGGGGCGATCATCCAAGCTCCGAAAGGCTCTGCGCCAATAGTAACCCCACGCTTCTCTCCTACAGCATGGCTAACGCCCTCCGCACGCTGATCATCACTCTCTTCAGCTTCCGGTCTAGTCGTTTTCGGGCATGCCTCAGGGTTGTGGCCATAAACTCCACATGTGAAACAAACCATATGAATACCCTCATATGCTACCGATCTCACGCGACCCTTGTATGTGAACTTCGAGATCAAAGGCTTCGTTATATCAACTTCGACGCAGACCCTAGCAAACATCCCTCGGGAAACCATACTCCTCGCTTGATCTACCCAAACCGTACGTTCCACCTTATTGCCTAGCTTCTTGAGAAAAATCAAACTGTAATACTCAGCAGGTAAACAAGGGATTCGAATCCATACCAGGACTTTTTCCGTGACATCGGAAAAAGGATCAAAATCCGGCACCCATGGCTTCACTATTAGGTAGTGATCAATGATCATCCATGGTCCTTCAAACATCGCGTATTCCAGGTCCTCCACTGCCCCGAACCTGACGATAAAATATTCGTTATCAATGGCAATCAGGTCCATCTTCCCGTTTGGCTTTCACATGGATGTAAGGCGACGTAACAGATATGCGTATCCAACATTTCTCCCCATCACCTTTATGATTATCGCCTTCCGCCATGGTGCTCGAATTTCTTTCACCTCAGCCTGTGTTAGGCGGATCGTCGGGCAGAGTGGGTCCTCGTCGTCTTCATCCGAAAGATCCTCTTCGCTTTCCTCTTCCATCGTCTCCTCTGTCTGTCGCACATTCCGTTCATCCTGCCCAGAGACAGTCTCGGCGTACGTTCGACGAGAGGCCTCCGAAACCTGTATCAAAGAAGGATGCGTTACAGGAAGCACTGTTTCACTTACATGCGTTACCTGCATGGCCGGTTCGTCGTTCGTCATCAAGACCTCTATCGGCGTTTCGGGAACACCATCAAGCCCGTCGAGCGCTGGCTGTGTGGAGGATTCTTCTCCCGATCCGTCACCTTTTTTGGCCTTCTTCGTACTCCGTTCTAACAGATCTCGATCTTCCTCAGATCACTGACAAGAGAGCGTTTCTCCAATCGTTTCCATCAGATATATATATATATATATATATATATATATATATATATATATATATATATATATATATATATATATATATATATATATATATATATATATATATATATATATATATATATATATATATATATATATATATATATATATATAACTATTATTATTATTATTATTATTATTATTATTATTATTATTAAATATATGTATACCCTTAGGTCATTTTACATGTTAATCTAAACAGCTAATTTTTTCAAATATCTTTTTACCCACCGTTGGTATAATTCACTGGTCGAATCTGCTAATATAATCCGCTAACGCTAATCGCTAACGGCTGATTGTCAAACAAGGACATTGCAAGATAGTTCTCACTTCAATTTGTTGTGTGATTTGAATACTCTCTTTGTCAACAAATCCCTCAAGTAGTTAATATGATTGACTTTATTAATTATATATATATTTTTTAATTTTTTCATGGTATTAATAAAATACTTGGTAAATAAATATATAACAATATTTTGTATTATAACTTTGATATTTAATTAAAAAAATAATGCACAAAATAAAAAGATAATAGACAATGTAGTGAATATAATCAATTGATGAATTTGAATGTAAAGAATTTTTACATTGGATAAAAATAAACACAATATAACTAATAAAATTATTTCTCTTAATTAATTTATTGATAATGAATAATTTTATTTTTAATAAAGACATTGTAGGGATAATGTAGCGAATATAATCAATTGATGAATTCTAATGTAAAGAATTTTTATATTGGAGAAAAATAAAGACAATATAACTAATGAAATTATTTCTCTTATTTAATTTATTGATAATGAATAATTTTTTTTTGAATAAAGACATTACAGACACATAATTCTAAATTAAAGAAATGTATATGTATTATTTTTTATTGTAGCTACTAAATTATTATTTCTACAAATCTAATAAGAGCGAATAATGTTAGGCCCTTAACTGGAACAAAAAAAAATGTCGGTACTAATTGTTTCTTAAAATGAATGGTTCATATTATTTTGATTTTAGTATCTTTTAATGATTTTCCTTATTTACCCTCTATTATATTATTTTCTTCCCTTAAATAACCCTAAATTCCGTTAGTTTAAACTTTAGTAACGGAATATTCCGTTAACTATTTATTATTTTTAACATACTCTTAATTTATATAAGGTCTTAGGTTCAAACCTCATCCCAATTATAATTGACATAATTGTTAAACATATATTATTTTTTTTGTTCAGGAGAGAGGGGGATACCCAACGTTAAACATATATTATGAATATGTTAAAATGTATTAAAAATATATATAATATAAAATTTAACATAAACTTTGGTCAAATAATTAGCTCGACTAAATACATAGCATTCAAAGTTGAGCATCAAATATTATAAATCAGGAACTACTTTAAAATTATTTGATTTTCTTGAATTTGTTTATTTAAAAAAAAAAACAAATTTATGTTAATTTTTTTTTTAAATTAATCTTCTTCTGATTATTTAGAACAAAAATTAATATTTCTTTTTTTTTTGAATGTACAAAACTTAATATTTCAATTATGCTTTTGCATTATTGGAATGATTTAGGCCATTATGGTATTAATATTTTTTTTTGTATTTTTTTTATAATGGTACAATTGTACATTACATTACTAATATTATACTATTATTTTTTTATTGGACAATGTTCTTACATCATTGTCAAACCTGCGCGGCCTAACTACAAAGTTGTTGATCATAAATACAATTACACATAGACTCTAAAACGGTAGGATCATTTTTCAAATAATTGACAATGTTAACATCCTACTAGCTCCAATTGAACAAGTTTACACATCAAAATTTTATCAATGCATGAAAACTTCTAAAAAAAATTTGTAAGTTAATTTTTACTATATTATTATATTAATATCTATTGTAACAATATATTTTGAATTATTTATTATCATCCTCTATTGACAGCAATTGTAGCAATTGTTATGGACAAACTCACAAAACAATTTGTCTCAACAAGGAATGGAAATTTTAAAAAAAAATCATTAATTTCATTATTGTTGAAGAAAAAGTATGTACAACACTTTATTACTCTTATTAATTAAATAAATTAGTAGCTACAACAAAAAATAATACATATGCCCCATTTAATTAATTTAGAATTAGATGTTTATAATGCTTTATTTAAAAAAAAAATATTCATTATAAAAAAATTTAAAAGAAATATAATTTCATTAGTTATATTATCTTTATTTTCTACAATTCAAAGATTCCTTACCTTCAAATTTATTAATTTATTATACTCACTACATTGTTCATTGTCTTCTTTTTTACATTATCTTATAATTAAATATCAAAGTTATAATACAAAACATGTAGGAAAAAAATTACCACTACTAAATATCAATACGTGTTTGTACGCTAAATAGTTCATATTAAAACTAAAATCTCAGTCATATACACAGCAAGGTAAATCTAAAACTTCCAACATCATAATCTCATTGCATGATGAATCCCTCTATGCTGCTACCAGTAACCTAATTGCACATGAAACACTACCAAAAAAAAAAAAAAAAAAAAAAAGGACATGTACTGAAGATGAAAACAATAACAATGCTACCCAAAAAAGAATAAAGAAGAATTAGAGAAATTTAAACAAAAAGTAGTATTTATTTAGACTATCGCTTTAAAACTAAGTATTTAGACTAGCGTTATTACAAAGTTGCAAACATTTATTTTAGTGACAATTATAATCAATCTCGCATATATTATCTTGCATTTATATACTTTAAATTACCGATTTAAATAAACAAATTCAACATTTATTTACATATGCATGAACATCTCCTATATGATATTGCATTGATATACTTTGGAATACTTATTTAAAAATAATTATTGGGCATTATCTCATTCGCACAAAGTGCGTAAAAAAACTAGTAATTTAATAAGAGTAAAATAGAGTACTAATTATGCCAACTTTGATTGAGATGAGGTTCGAACATAAAACCTTTCTTATTGAAATCAATGAGTAAGTTAACGGTGAACTAACAGAAATTAACGGAAAAGATAATATTTAACGGAAAAGTTAACGGATAATCATATTCATTAAGGATAAATTAGGAAATCTTAAGGAAAAATTAAAATATGATCAATCTGAGCCATTCATTTGATTAAAAAATTTGACCGCCATTTTTTCTACCCATTATAGGCCTAACTCTCTTTGGCTCTTATTAGTATAGTAGATAGTAGATATAGTAGATATTAATTCCTTGCCGTTTGCCTTCAGAATTCGTTTCTTTATATTCATCATTTTTGAACTCTATATTCACAATTTTAGAATTCTATATTCACAATTTTAAAACTGAATATACAAAGTTACAAAACTCAATATTTACAATTACAGAACTCTATATTTATAATTTCATAACCCAATATTCACAATTTCATAATTCTATATTCACAAATTTTGAACTCGATATTCACAATTACATAACTCTATATTCAACAGTATAACACAATTTTTGAATCTATATTCACAATTTTTGAACTCTACATTCATAATTTTTAAACTCTATATTCACAAATTGAAACGGTGCTACTTACAGCACTGTTATTCCAAACGTGCGTTTTGGACCTGGGTCCACCTTGCAAGGTGGACTCGGCATAATTTGCCGTTAGTACTACACGACTCACCAATAGTTATGCTGTGGAACCGTGTTCACCATGCGCATGGTGAACACGGGATAGATTCATAATTTCTAAGCTGTAGAGTCATAACATCTATGCTGTAGATTCATAATTTTTATACTGTAGATTCATAAAATTTCTATACTGTAGATTCATAATTTCTGTACTGTAGATTCATAATATCTGTACTGCGAAGACGAGATAATGCGATTGCGAAGAGAGAAACGTCGTTAACAATAAATGAAAAACAAAATTATGAATTTACAGCATAGAAATTATGGATCTATCCCTGTGTTCACCATGCGCATGGTGAACACGTTTCCACAGCATAATTTGCGCACGACAATCGTTATGCTATAGACTCGTGTCCAGCATGCATGCTGGACACGAGTAACAGTGCCGTTAGTGGCACTGTTATCTGTAACTTTAAAAAAAAAAAAAAAAAAATTCAGACCGCTTCGTTATAGTAGTATATGTTCATAATTTTATTACTATATGTTCATAATTGTAAGTTCATAATGTCATAGCTCTATATTCATAATTCCATAACTGGACATTCATACTTCCATAACTATATGTTCATATTGTAAGTTCATAATGTCATAGCTCTGTGTTCATAATTCCATAATTGTACATTCATAATTGCGTAACTGTACATTCATAATTGCATAACTGTATATTCATAATTCCGTAACTGTACATTCATAATAATTCAATAACTGTAAAATCATAATTTTCGAAGCTCCATGTTCATAATTTTAGAGCTCTATGTT